GGGTTGGGGGGGTGTAGGGTTAGGGTTGGGGGGTGTAGTGTTAGAATATTGGGGTTGGGGGGTTGTAGGGTTAGGGGGGTGCGCCGGTACTGGTATCAGTGCCGATACCTCCCCCGATATTGGAACTAACGGCCGGATGAACATTTCCTCTGACTGGCAGCACCGTAGGTGGAACATGGAGCTTGCCGTGTGATCAGGAAGCCTGACACGGAGCCGGCTCACGGGGCAATCGGGACCCTGGGCGGGGTGTCATTGCCTCCTGATCCCCCGGGAAGCCGGCTCCATGCCAGCGGAAGCACCGGGGTTAGTATTCAGTGTCGGCGAGAAATATCGGAATATCCGGACTCGTTACCCAAATAGCGGCATTGCTGCGTCCCGAGTTTTGATGAAAACAATGTTTTAGTATTTGGGACGAGTAGATCCGCCCCTTCTCTGCAGGAAAAGATGAAGGGGAAGAACAAGCTGGTGCCTCGTCTGTTGGGGATCACCAAGGAGTGTGTGATGCGGGTAGATGAGAAGACCAAGGAAGTGATCCAGGAATGGAACCTCACAAACATTAAACGTTGGGCCGCCTCACCCAAGAGCTTCACCCTGGTGAGGATCCGGTGCCAGCGACGGGCGTTCTCACCATTTTCCTGGTCTGTGATTACAAGGAACCTCTTCTCTGCCGCAGGACTTTGGCGATTATCAGGACGGGTATTACTCGGTGCAGACCACGGAGGGAGAGCAGATCGCCCAGCTCATCGCCGGATACATTGACATCATCCTGAAGAAGGTGAGAGGTCGGGAGATGCGCGGGGGATCTGGCTGGCGTATAGACTGACCCCTGACCCCCAGCGCACTTCCTGTTATGACGCCGCTAATGCCGCTTCTGTTTCTCTCCGTTTCAGAAAAAGAGTAAAGACCATTTTGGCTCGGAGGGAGATGAAGAATCCACCATGTTGGAGGACTCGGTGTCACCCAAGAAGTAAGATGTTCCTCCCAATGGTGGGGACTCTCATGATGGTGAATGCGGCTCCTCCTCCGCACGCTGCTGCCAATCGTCTCTTCCGTACTGCCCAGCCAGTGAGCTCCGCCCTCCCCCACACTTCTACCACCACGGCCATGCCACACCCCCCATCATGCAGGGCCACCCTCCCGGGACAGACGGACTGAGTCTATGGTGGTCTCCAGTCTGACCTCACATGGGGGACTATTCACTAAGGTGCCGAACGTCCATCGGATACAATCGGCGGCACTTCGGCTGGCTGCGGTTCACCAGGTTCAGCCGAGGTGAAGGAGCCGAACGTCTCGGCCGATCTCCAACATCTGGATCGCCTGTGCCGAACCTCCGACAGTTCACTCGCTGCCGTTCGCCCCTATTCCCGGGGGGGGGGGGTCCCCCTCCTGATTCATAGCAGGCCCTTTAGGTCTGGTAAGCATTTTAAGGAGGAGCCCCACCCCCAAAAATGGGGGGCCAAATGTGGGGTCCCCTTAAAATTCCTAACCGGACACTTACTCCGAGCACAAGCCTGGCAGAGCAGGAAAGGGGGGGGGAGAGAGAGACACGCATGAGCGAGCACCACCCCCTCCATTCCAGGCCACATGCCCCCTCGGCACTGGTAGGGTGCTTTTGCAGGGTCCCCTCTGGAGAAGCACCTGGTCCCCAATGCCGATTAGGACAAGGGTCTCTTCCCCACAAGCCCCGGGAAGTGTTGGTTGTGGGGGTGCGGGCAGGGGGGCTTATTTGCATCAGGGTGCTCCCTTTAATAAAGGGGGCACCCAGATGCGCCTCCCCCCCCCCCTTGTGAATGAGTAAGGGGTGCTTGTACCTACCCATTCACTAAAGGGTTAAAAGATTTCCGACAATTCCTTTAATATTGGATAAATTGATCCAACACTGTAAACCTGACGTCAATCGCGGCGTACAGCGTTGTCACCGCCGACTCGCCAAAATGACCCGACGCCTGCCGACCCGTCCGCACCCGCCAAACACGCTGCAAAATGACCTGTATGACAGGAGATGGCAAAAAGTAAACACATAGGCGGAGCTACCGGTGACATCAGTCTGATTCGGCCGACACCTGTCATATGGGTTGGCCAAATGAAAACAACTGGGCGGAGCCACCTGTGATGTCAATGCTGGCTCCGCCCAGTTGTCATTCAATGATAGCACCGTGTCCTCGGATGAGAATGCTGGGCTGTCATTGAATGACAACAACTGGGCGGAGGCAGCCGTCATTACGTCACGACTGGCTCCGCCCAGTTGTTTACATTTGCAGGGGGCCACCCTCCCGGGACAGACGGACCCGAGTGTCTGGTGGATTCCATCTCTGATAAGTCTGGTCTCACATGGTGTGTCCGTGGTCCCCCCATCACGCAGGGCCACCCTCCCGGGACAGACGGACCCGAGTCTCTGGTGGATTCCATCTGATAAGTCTGGTCTCGCATGGTGTGTCCGTGGTCCCCCCATCACGCAGGGCCACCCTCCCGGGACAGACGGACCCGAGTCTCTGGTGGATTCCATCTCTGATAAGTCTGGTCTCACATGGTGTCTCCGTGGTCCCCCCATCACGCAAGGCCACCCTCCCGGGACACAGTCATATACTCCACGGACTGTGAGGGAATTATGAGGATAAACTGAAGTGTGGCGATTGGTGAGGACAGAACGGTGGTGCGTGGCACGGAGGCGCTGCGCTCATAAAGGGCTCGTCTACAGTTGCTGGTGTTCAGGGTCTTCCCAGTTCTCCAGTTTATAAATGTTTCCGGGAACAAGTTGTGATGATGAAACGTATTGGTGGGAGTGACGCCCCGTGGAGGCTTCTTCTCCGCCGTCCCTCCATGCAGCCGGATTCCGGGTGGAGACTTCCATTGTGGAGTGATTGGGATTTCTTCTCATTGGAGAGTATTGGGTTTGGTTCTGGTTCTGTCACCTTCCTGGATCCCAATCATGCTGCTATCACCCGGGGACCTTCTATGGGAGATAACATTCTTCCTCCTCTCCAGGTCCACGGTTCTACAGCAACAATTTAACACAGTGGGGAAGGTGGAGCACGGCTCTGTAGCTCTTCCGGCCATCATGCGTTCTGGGGCTGGAGGACCGGAAAACTTCCAGGTGGGCTCCATGCCAATGGCTCAGCAGCAGATCACAAGTGGACAAATGCACTGGGGCCACATGCCACCACTGGTAAGCACACGGATGAGGCGGTACCTCTGGTCTGGTGTTGTGTCCCCTCGTTTATCACGTTGTCCCCTATGTACCATTGTTTCTCTGCAGACCTCGGCCCAGCAGGCTCTCACCGGTACGATAAACTCGAGCATGTCAGCTGTGAATGCGGCTCAGGCCTCCCTGGATGACTTCGATACTCTTCCACCTCTCGGACAAGATGCGGTAAGTACAACATACCCCAAATGTGTTACTGCCGTCTTCTGTAATGGACTAATAATCAATGCAGACCACTGTGGAGGTTGGGTGGTCATATGGTGTCAGTATAGATCTCTGTGGAGGTTGGGTGGTCATATGGTGTCAGTGTAGACCTCTGTGGAGGTTGGGTGGTCATATATTGTCTGTATAGACCTCTGTGGAGGTTGGGTGGTCATATATTGTCAGTATAGACCTCTGTGGAGGTTGGGTGGTCATATGGTGTCAGTATAGACCTCTGTGGAGGTTGGGTGGTCATATGGTGTCTGTATAGACCTCTGTGGAGGTTGGGTGGTCATATGGTGTCTGTATAGACCTCTGTGGAGGTTGGGTGGTCATATGGTGTCAGTGCTGAAGTTTGACAAGATGACATTTGTGACTGCAGGCGGCCAAGGCTTGGAGGAAGAACAAGATGGACGAATCCAAACATGAGATCCACTCTCAGGTGGACGCCATCACGGCAGGAACCGCCTCGGTTGTCAACCTGACTGCAGGTGAGAGGGTCAGGTGATGTCAGGTGATGTGATTGGGAAGAAGGGGACGGCTGGACGTTGTGGGGGGTTGACGAGGAGCCAACACAGATGATTGATACGTCTCC